AGATTGGGGTTCCCTTCGGCCCTAATTCCTTGAATTTCTTTAGGACTATAATAAATCATCTTATGGATAAATTACACTTTACCCTTCTAAACTATTACCCTTATTTCACTTTACATCCTTAATTGTAAAATTTCTCACATTACACCCTAAAATATCAATTTTGTTTCATACCACTCCAATAAATAACGATAAACTTGAAAATTTGTCAAATGAGAAAAGAGAATCCCAAAGAGCTTCCTACCAAGTGCCCAGTACCACTTTATTTTAACTCTTTTGCAACCAAATGGTTGTTAGAAAAAAAAAAAAAGGGTCAATTAAGGAAAGAAAATTTAGAGCTTATAAAGGGTAAAGTCACGAATATGTATTTTTCTTGATTTTTAACCTGTACGTGTGCAATAAACAATTGCTTAATGGTAGTACAGACTACTCACATGCGCATTTACCGTAAAAAAAGTGACATCCGTTATCAATTGAAGTGATATTAAAAAAAATTAATACTTTAGGGTGAAATGTGAGAAATTTTATAGTTGAAGGTATATAATAAAATAAGGGTAGTAATTCAATGGGGTAAAATGTAATTTACCATCATCTTAAGAAACTCACTTATTGCAATAAAGCATTGTTAATATCCTACCATGCACCTGCTGATGCTCGATTCTGGTATTGGTGCAAATCAGGAGCTTGATGAGAAAGCAGTGGCTGAGTTCCGAAGGAGGTGGGCAGGGATGGCGGACTACATAGACAAGGGGGGAAGCAACATTGTCGAGGGGATGTTGGCAATAGGCAGAAGCGGAGACTACGACCTCATAATAGTTGGAAAAGGCCGGCGTCCCTCAATCATTGTGGCAGATCTGGTCGATCGCCCAGCCAAGCATGCCGAACTAGGGCCTATAGGAGATGTCTTGGCCTCATCAGGTCAGGGCATTGTGTCTTCTGTGCTTGTTGTTCAACAACATGATATGGTGTCATGCAGAGGAGATCCCACTGACCAAGATTGTCCAAAGTGAGGATAACACAATCAAATCCCACGAGCCTTATAGTGTGGTTTCGAAATGGCCTGTATGAGTTTTAAGTGACAAGATATAATGGGTATGCATAAGATTGCTAATGCAATTCGTTTCCATCCTGTTCCTAAATATTGGAGACTTGTAGTTTTGATCGTAATTAATGTGATTTCTTTCTCCATCTTTACCGCAATGAAAAACCCCAACAAGACCTGTTTAACATAACTAATACATGGTCGTGTCTGGGTTGAAACGACCCACGCCATCCCTACGTTTTCGAGGATATTAGTCTCGGCGTCCAAACTCATGGTTTTGTGTCTTAATATTGAGCAAAAACGGAATTTTGGCAAAGTGATTGTCTGACAATTAACCTGCAACTTACTTTTTTTGTAGATGAAGGGAAATGAGAAAAAGAAAAATACAATGGGTGCATCTGTGGCATCATACTATTTATTTATCGTATCATCCCCCTCTTACACATGCAATGAATAATTATGCACGGGTGAATTTCTACAATGGTTTGAGGTGGTAGCACCAAGGCGGGGATCGTGTGGGTGTCCTGCAACAGAGAATAAGGTCAAAAAGGGGGATGGAGACTTGTTCGACTTATCATTTCTAATGCGTAAGCCAGTAAAGTGCTCAAAGGAAAGACATGACTTTTATTGTGTTGGGTTAGTTGTCGATAAATACATGAGACCCAATTCATTTGACTATTTATTCTTCAAATAGGATGGCATGACATTTTAGAGCTTTCTCTTGAGCTGCGCAATTATCAAGTCTGAGAGGTGTCACGAGGTCTAACCCTATAATGATTATCCTAACTAGGATGTCAAGTACTCAATACACTTCTCCCCAACATTTAATAACATCTGCAAGTCATTTATTGAACTGTGTCAAACACTCATTGAACTGACATTGAGAATTAAGTTTATATGTCCCCGACAAATCCAGATCAATAAGTATCATGCATTTATACAAATTTTTTGAAATTCAAATTGTAATTTGATGTGACTTATCTACGAAAATAATCATTCTTTGTAATTTATTACGCCACGGGGCAGCGACAAATGATCAGGCCAGGATGCTTCTAAGGCATATTCCTCAAAATTCACTCCTTGGAGTCAGTCAATCGCCTTAGTATTTCACTGTTCGAGGCCACATATGATGTTCTGATATGAAAATCGTTTCGTGTCTCATCAAATTACTGTGATACATTTCTAAGCATAGCTTCAAGGGAAATGACCGTGACATGAGACCTCTCTATCCTGAAACATTGTTGTGGCCATTTTGTTTATCTCATTTCTTTGTCTAAAAGGGCCTAAAATGGCAAATCATCTATAAAGAACCTGTTCATAAGTCAAGAACAGGAATAAGAACAGTCAAACTAGGCGGAAAGATTACAACAGGCACCGAGGAACGTCCAGAGATTCTGAACGTCATTAAAAAAAGAAAAATTTAGAAATCGATCGCCCTATATGAACTTATTTGGACTTAAGTCCACCAAAAAAATTTATTTGTTATAAAATTTTTTTTTTTGTTAATTTTACCAGAATATCTCTTCTCTTTAGAAATGAAGTAAAATTAAAAATTTCTAAATTTTAAGAGTTTGATTAACATTAAAAAAAAATTTCCCTCATATCTATCTATATTCATATATAAGGTAGGACTATATCTCTCATATATATATATATATAGAGTAATATTAAAAATAAAAAATAGTAATATTCAAATACAAAAAAAAAAGTATCATTTAATTACAAAAAAATAATACTATTTAAACACACAAAAAAATAGTAACATCCAATATTAATATTTAAAAATAATAATAATAGTAACATTCCCAACAAAAATAGTAACATATTCAACAAAAATAGTAACATACTTAACAAAAACAGTAACATGCTCCACAAAAATATAGCAATATAGAACATTGAACAAAATTAAACATAAAAATAGTAGTATTCAAACTCATAACCAGGAGGAAAAAACCTCAAATTTTTCAGCATCCAAAAAAATAACATTGAAAAAGTAATAACATGCTCAATAAAAAATAATAACATGAAAAAAAAAATAGTGATATATGTTAATAAATTACGTTTTGAAATTGATGTTACTGAACTGATGTTACTATTCTAACATCAAGTACTTGACATGCACTGTCTATGTTACTTTTTCAAAATCTCGAGTTCGTACTCTAACTTCAACCTTTATTCCTTTCATATTAGCCTCAAATTTTGAAAGCCAATGATTTAAATGTATAATAGACAAAATAATGACTAGGAATTTGAATTTGAAGTATTATGAAAAACTTGTAATTGAAAATTGTCATCGTAAATCAAACATTCTTATATTTAATCATTGACTTTCATATATAGCTCTTTATAGATAATGTTTAACTTTGCATAACTGACCAAATTAACACTGTTAACGGTATTTTTGAAATTAAAAAAAAAAGTATACTTAACTCCTTACTAATAAGTTTAAAAACGGACTTAATTCAAAATAAGTTTTTTTGACGGACTCAAGTAATTATAAATCCATCTAAAAAAATTCAGCTCCAATGTTCACTTAAAAAAACATATAATATCTTTAAAACAGCATCGATGCTCGATAAACAACTTATTCTTTAAGAACTTTACCAGTGGCCTTCGAAGATTTAAATTCCTCAACATTTAATATGAAAAATGCACAGAAACAGGCAATGATATTTGTTATTATAAAGTGACTTTAGAGGCAAACTTTACAAAGACTTTAATGTTGATTTGGTGTACATCGAATACCATATCCCTTTTGTTTGGGGAAAAAATCCAACCAAATTCAAGATCTTTTTCATATGATTTACACTGCACATATGGGTTCCTAAGCATAAATCACAGTCCATTCGATGCTTAAAGTGGTACTGCTGTTTCACTAATATTCGTATAATTTCATTTTAATGATATGGAAAACATATTCGTATCCAGTTGGTTTGAAGCCCATGATGGTATTATAACGAAATCACGGGACATTGATACTCATTTTACTTGAGCACTTGGAAAAGAGTCCCTTCAATGGAAGAATAGGCACTTCTTTCATGATTTGTATTAAAGAAAGCACAGGACACAATCTGTAAACAGCTAAAGTAAGAGAATCTAAAAGTAACAATAATGTTATTTGAATATAAAAATCTGACCTATGATATGATGAAATCATTAGATCAATACTAAATTCCGATATTTGATGAAATTCACAATTAATTCAAAAGGCATAGTGAATTATGTCAACAAATTACGTTACAATAGCATTGCTCCAAAAATAAAGTGTCAAGGGGTTTAGCATGGAACGAAGTATTGACTCGGGCAGTCTAGATTCGACTTCTTGTCTTGATGCTTAAGATTTAATCAATATCTTTAGTTGACAAAAAGATTACATGTATTCAAGATTTACTTTGCATGGATGGGTTTGATGAGCGTTCTAGATTCAACTCTCGTGACAAACAAATGTAGTTATCCAAGATTTATTTTGCAGCCATTAGGGTCGACTGATAAATGGGTACAAACATTATAGCCATTTCTCCATTAGCGGCTGAAGCTAGCGCAGGAAGAAGATGGCTGTGGAGGAAGCTTATCACTTGGTGATCATAGAATCGGATTCAAAAGAGCTCATCGAGTCTCTTAAACAGGGTTCTACAGCAACCATACGGGAAATTGAATCAATTCAACTTGACATTTGGTATTACGCAAACCAACTGCCTCACATCAGATACTAAACCTTCCTCCAATCACATTATGTCATGCGACTTTTGTAACCACCCTTCAACTCCTTATCTATCTATCTATCCACTAATCTTTTCAAATTTATTTGCATACAATTATATTTACTATTCAATAATTTAGTTTAATTTTTTTATTTACCCTCTTAAGTGACAAGGTGAAAGAGAAAAAAAAATAAAATAAAACAAATAAGAAATGAAAGAATATATATCCCGTGCATCGCACAGGGCCACAACGCTGTTATTGTCTATATATAAATCTAGTTGCTGCAGCTTCACTAACAAATCTTTGAGATACATAGAAAACCAGCCACAATCAAAGAGGACACCTTTGGTCATCAACGACTATGTCTTTCAACGTAACATCCATTAAAACCTCCTCAGATGGAGCATGGCAAGGTGAAAACCCACTGAACAATGCATTCCCCTTGCTAATCATTCAAACCGTCTTGATCCTCCTCATCAGCCGCTTCATTGCTTTCTTCCTCAAGCCACTCCGTCAACCTAAAGTCGTCGCCGAGATAGTAGTACGTACTAAATTTCATATCTGGCCTATCATCATATTATCCGACTCTAAATAACTAAATATTGATAGATCTACGTTAATTCTATCATACCCCAAAGCATTTGTTTCTGAGAACAACTGTGTCTTGTGAGAGAGAGAGAGAAAGAAGCATATATATTGTGCATCCTATTGTGTTCATGAATGGTTTAATTTTGTTTTCAGGGTGGAATTGTGCTTGGACCATCAGCTCTTGGCCGGAACAAAGAGTTCATGCAGATGATTTTCCCATCATGGAGCACACCAGTTCTTGAATCAGTAGCAAGCATAGGCCTTCTGTTCTTTCTCTTTCTTGTAGGTCTTGAACTCGACTTAAGCTCTATCCACCGGAGTGGCAAGAGAGCATTCGGCATAGCAGTCGCCGGAATTTCCCTGCCTTTTCTCTTCGGAGCTGCCATCACCTTCCTCCTCCGAAAAGCCATTGATGGAGCGGACAGAGTTGGCTACGGCCAGTGCCTCATGTTCATGGGAGTTTCTCTCTCCATCACAGCTTTTCCGGTCCTTGCGCGCATTCTAGCTGAACTCAAACTACTCACAACCCAAATAGGAGAGACCGCCATGGTCGCAGCCGCCTTCAATGACGTCGCCGCCTGGATCTTGCTGGCCATAGCCATAGCCATAGCTGGTGGAGCTCACAAAAGCCCATTAATATCCATTTGGGTTCTCATTTCTGGTATTGCCTTCGTTTCCTTCATGCTAATCATCGTCCGACCAGCAATGAGCTGGGTGGCTCAGCGGGCCGCCCCTGGCCACGATATCATGGACGAAGCTTATATATGTTTGACACTCGCCGGAGTTATGTTATCAGGATTCATGACTGACCTGATCGGAATACATGCTATATTTGGTGCTTTTGTTTTTGGATTAACGATCCCCAAAGGAGGAGAATTTGCTAGAAGATTGATCAAAAGGATTGAAGACTTTGTTTCCGGCCTATTGTTGCCACTTTACTTCGCTTCAAGTGGGTTGAAGACAGATGTTGCTAAAATACACGGGATCGAGGCTTGGGGGCTGCTGGCGCTGGTGATATCGGCGGCATGTGCCGGGAAGATTTTGGGGACATTTGTGGTGGCGATGATGTGTATGATTCCGGTGAGAGAGTCCTTGACGCTTGGTGTGTTGATGAATACTAAAGGGCTGGTGGAACTCATTGTTCTCAACATTGGCAAAGAGAAAAAGGTGAGATGTTTTATGAGTAACACAAGTAGGCAGGACAAGTTTAGAGATCAGTTCTAATTTAACCTTTAAGCTATAAAACTCTCAATTTTAGTTCAACATGTACCCAAAGTCGGCTCTTATCCGTCAACTCGAATATTCTTCATGGTTATATTTTTTCCTCTAGATAAAATTGATGTTCATACTAAGAAGCACGGATACTCGATTTGTTTTTTGGTTTTTTTTGTTGGGGAGTGGGGGTCGCTGTGGCAGTGTCGAACACGTGTCCAACACGGACACACGTGGGACACAACCGGACACATGTCTGACACCTCTAGAAGTGTCCTGCACAATAAATTTAATTTTTTTCAGCCGGTTACGTGGGAGATACGAGGATACTTGAGGGGATACAGCAGGGGATACAGCAGGGCTGTTTTTGTTTTTTTTTAAAACTTAGGGAGTTGAAACAAAAAAAAAGGGATAAGCGACGTCGTTTTTGGGCTTGAAAAAAGAAAAAACAAAAGGCAAAGGTTGAACGACCAACGATCTGCTTCGACTCCCGATCTCCCACTTTTGACTATGAGAGAGAGAGAGAGAGAGAGAGAGAGAGAGAGAGAGAGAGAGAGAGAGAGAGAGAGGAGGAGAACGACTGAACAATCTACTTCGGGCCTTCAACAAAAAGGAGAAGAGGATAAGAAGAAGGAGAGGAAAGAGGAAGACCAACCTGCTACTGCTCTCTGCGACTGTTGTTATCGCTTACCAGGTTCCTCTTCTTCATCTTCTTTTTGTTACCTAAGATTTTCTTTTTTTCTTACTTCTATCCTGTGGAGGACTTTCAAAAAATTTGATTAAGTTAATTTCATTAAATTAGGGATTTAGGGTTTTCAAATTTTGAGGATATTTTAGAGCATTTTTTGCTGTTCTTGTGATGTTATGTTTTTGGTCTGGTGTTGCTAGTTTTCAAAATCTGGATTCTGTCTGTCACTCTTCCTACTGTGTTTGTTGCGTTTTTTTTGGATTGTTACTATTAATGTTGTTATATATATAAAAATATATATAATTATTTTAATTAGTCATTTCCTCACCGTATCCATGTCCTATGATTTTGGGATTTTGTCGTATCCTTGTGTCTGTATCGTATCAGATACGACACCCGTATCTGTATCCGTGCTTCTTAGTGTTCATAAGATTGAATTCAACTTCAATTTGAGTTTAATTAGATTATTTGAACTCAATGAGAGTTGAATCTGAATTCACTAATATAGATTGAGTTTGAACCGGGTTCCGAAAATCTAAAATCTCAACCTAAGTTCTACTTGAAATTCCAGTGTATTAGATGGCGTCCTCCCTAATTCCCATCCTATCTTACTCAGTGCTAGACAAAATCAAATTATGAGCATCCCCAAAAGCAACAGCCATAAGACTAGTGGAAATGAATTAAAGACATGATGTAACCAACCAAAAAACAAAATTAACAATGTAATTTGCAATCAAGGGCTCCACAAGTCAATCCCAAAACTGCTTTTGTGAAAAAGTAAAAAATAATAAACCACCACAACTTTATGCCTTTGTCTTTTTGTGCACTTAGATGAGAATATTAAGATGCCATATATATAGTTTGACTTCAACATAATTGTAAGAGGAAAAAGCATATCTATTGATCACAAACATTTCATTCTTTATGAGTGGGCTCGACCATTAAGAGAGTGATGCATATTTACTAGTGCATTATTACTTCTTCTTTTTTTTTTCTTGAATTTCATCTATCATGCATGATTTAAAGGTGCTCTTAGATTTTCATGTTGTAATCATTTGTTATAGTGGATTTGTTTAAGTGATCAAGGTGTTGATCTTCGGGCATAATTTGGGATCGAGTTTCACCATAATTCTCTTTTTCCTTTAGGAATACACTAAATCTATAGTTATACAAATACGTACACACATACAAAAATGTATATAATTGAAAAAAAATATACTCCTCAATGGCTAAAGGCATAAATAGGTTAAATAACGATAAGTCGTCAACTATAATTAAATATCATACATCCTATCACTGTTAATAGAACCCTAAGATATAAAAGTTCATTCTCTTCAACTTAAAAGGCATGCATAGTTATTACTTCATAAATTTATGCTCAATTCTTCCATGACAGCTTGACAATGAATGTTAGAAAATTATTATATAATTAGCAACTTACAATTTATTTATTAAAATAATTTATCTTTTTAATTTTATCAGAATTACATCAAAATATATGGGCATACCTGTTGAGGAATCTCTTCATGGCAGATAATGGTCCAGTTGATCTCATACTGATGATATGGATCCTAAACCATGTCTTAATACTTCAATGCAAAAGAAGTCAACACAGCATTACTCCAGCAACAACATGCATTGTTTGAAGATAGGGAAGCCACTGGGAGTTCGCTGGACTTTTTTTTTGGGTATAGAATTTTATTCCTAAAAGAAAGAAATATAACGAAAGTTGATCAGTTAAAAACTACACCGACCGAGCTCACGACATACTCTAATTCTAATCTAAGAGATTCATCCTCTCACATTTGATAAGCATAAGAGTAAACACTTGACTGTTCAAACAAAAACACAAAATAATCCCAAGCAACAAGACCAAATTCTCTCACCATCCATAGGACTTGGGTTTAGCATAGCAATGAAAAAAAAAATCCTCCTACTCACCCAAAAAAAAAAACCTTCCTCATGAGGGGTTTTATTAGACAAATTATTCAAAACATGCACTTAACTAGTTTAAGAAGCATGAATTATGAACTTATTGCCTCCTTTCCATTTTGCTTGTTGAACAGGTTCTTAACGATGAGATGTTTGCCATTTTGGTCATCATGGCGCTCTTTACCACCTTCATGACTACTCCAATGGTAATGGCCATTTACAGACCGGCCCGCAATGGCTCTTCTGCCGTCCATCGACAGTTACAAAAAGACTTATCACATTCCAAAAGGCCACAGAACAAGCTTCGAGTCCTTGCATGTGTCCGCGGATTCGGAAACTCAACCTCACTTATCAACCTCATTGAGACAACTCGGTCCACAAAGAAGTTCCCAATGAAGCTCTACGTCATGCATCTTGTTGAGCTCACCGATCGATCCTCATCCATCGTGATGGTGCACCGATCTCGAAAGAATGGTCTTCCATTCGTTAACCGATTCCATCAGGGTGACTCACACGACCAAGTGGCAGCTGCATTTGACACATACAGTCAACTCGGCCGAGTCACGGTACAGCCAACGACGGCAATCTCTGCACTGTCTACAATGCATGAGGACATTTGTCATGTGGCAAAAGAGAAGACAGTGGCAATGATCATCTTGCCATTCCACAAACAGTGGAGACGAGAGGGTGAAGAGGAGGCAGAGATCAATGTAGGCTATGGATGGAGAGGGGTCAATGAGAGGGTGTTAAAGAATGCACCATGCTCGGTGGCAGTGCTCGTGGACCGTGGATTTGGTGCTGAGTTCCAACAGATTTCAGGAGTTAATGCAAACCTTACAAAGAGGGTGTGCCTTGTCTTCCTCGGTGGCCCTGATGATCGGGAGGCTTTGGAATTAGGTGGCAGAATGGCGGAGCATCCGACAGTGAGGGTGACCATACTAAGGTTTGTTGAGAAAACAGGACTGGAAGATGTCATTTTCAGGGCTTGGCCATCCTCATCAAATGACTCTGCTGAGGAGAGATATAGCTTCCCTACCACACCTAAGAACAATGAGACGGATAAGGTAAAATTTTTCTTTAAAATCTCATTTAAGAGAAAAAATACAGTGAAAAATGGAGCAAAATTGTGGTTATGGTGACAGCCAAGTCTGGACTTGCCCTGCAAAGCAGCAAAACCACAAGTATTTTTACTGCAGCCAAAGCGCTGGATTTGCTAGAAGTTTGGTGTATGGTTGCCACAATTCACTAAACCCTTAACGACTCACGATTTGGGTACATCGATTCCAAACGATGTGGGTTCGCGATCCAAATCACCAAAATTGACGACCCCAAATTATAATACTAACTCTAAATTAATTCGCTTAGAAAATGTAGCATAAATATAAAATACATATTAATTGACTACATATATATAGATTTATGATTATATATTATTTTAAATAATAGAAAATCAAGTACAACTATAAGATAAATAGTAACTAACTTGGTGTTTATGAATGTTCTGTAATATATAATGTTGTATAGTAGTGAAAACGATCTACATAAGAGGTCCAAAATAAATTACAACTCAAAATACCGTATCAGCTAAACTTACTCCTATCGTATCGCGTAATTAAAAAAGTATCGTACTATGTACCCGTACCCGTAACACTTACCAAAGTGAACCACGATCCAGGTAACATTTAGTCTAGGATAAGTGTAGAGAATTGTATTGATACTCAAGCACTCCATCCTCAAGAATTTCAAAAACTACATGGACATTAAACCAAATCTATTTATACTCAATCTTAGATTTGCAGTAAGGATTCAGGGACGGGGGTGGGGGAGAGGTTATTCAAGGGTGGGATTTTTTGGGGGATTGGCGGGAGATGGAGGTGAACAAGGGAAGGAAAGAGAGATTTCTTTCGGGGTAATCGCATTTTGGATTGAGTTTAGGTTGGGACGGGTTTGTGTTAGTCTTTATTTGACTTGAATCTCATGTATTTCCATCAACTCCCTTAGTTGACTGTTAGTCAACTGGCACTAAGTGCAAATTATAAGATCAAAGGGGAATGAATGTACTTATGTCACATCTAAATGGATGTCATCAGTATGATTTGCTCAAATAAAAGACTACAACTGGGTATGCAACTAAATGTCAATTTACAACTGGAAAACAGGAGGTGGACGAGGCTGCATTGGTGGAATTCCGAAGAAGGTGGGCTGAGAAGACAGAATATGCAGAGAAAGTGGTCAGAAACATCACAGAGGAGGTTCTACAACTAGGGCAGAGCAGGGAATATGAGCTCCTAATTGTTGGGAATGGCCGGTTCCCAACAACAATTGCAGCAAAACTGCGAGACCACCTAGCTGAGCATGCTGAGTTGGGACCCCTGGGAGATCTGTTAGCCTCATCCGGCCAAGGGGTAGTGTGTTCAGTACTTGTGATCCAACAACACGATCCAGTTCCATCAGCGGACAAAGCTCCAGGACCAAAGATAGTACGATGCAAGGATGATGCAGTCACAGCAAATGAATCCTCTGTGTGATGCATTTGGTATGTTGGGGCCAATAGATCCATAGATTCAGGTCCTGCCTGAAATACCTCAGTCTCCACGTGTGATACAAATAAGATTAAGTAGAAGTGCACTTATGTAGCCAGGATGTAATATATGTGGGTGATAGGCGATAGCATTACAATTCTTCGTCTTGTGGTAATTTTACTCTTGTACTAAGACTATTAGTTCAGGTAAAATACTAGTTCTCGACTTCACGCTGAAGCTGAGGTTAGATAGAAGCTTGTCCGCAGGGGTGGCGCCAAACTCCAACTCTAGTGGGGGGTAACCTTCAATATCTGAATACTCAAAGTCGGAGAAAATGTTGACACTATTTTACAAAAGTATAATTTCATCAAAATAACATATACAAGCAATATACAAAAAGAGTCGATAAAAAAAATTCACTATAAAATTGTACCAAACAAATACTTTTGTACCCAAAAAAAAAGTGTCCAATAATAAATTGATTCAACACATGGAAAAATCCAAATTCTTGAAAATTTTCATAATTGTTTCAACAAGTTTTCACAAATGGTATTTGAAAATTGTTCTCAACATATGTAGCCAAGTAATCATTCATCTATTGATATCTCGACTTTTTACTATGTTTCTTGCTGAGAAGTATTTATCGAAAATAATCATTATTCAATCTCAACCAATCAAAATAGTTTAGGAAGTTAAACAATTTTTAACATAAATACAAGCCTAGTAAATCAAAGATAGACATACAAACAACCTAATTTCTCACAATCAGATTCCTCTAGCCCATCGAACCAAATGGTTTAATCCAAAAAATAGTCCATAACATGTAAATTCTAAATATAACAATCCCTTAAATTTAACAACTTGTAATTCTCTATATTAATTTAGCATACAAAAATATCAAAAAAAAAAATATATATATATATATATATATATATATATATATATATATATATATATATATATGTGTGTGTGTGTGTGTGTGTGTGTGTGTGTGTGTGATCACGAAGACCAAATCCGGAATTGTAAGAGTGAAGTTCTTGGAATCACTGGGATCTTTGAAAAGTAAAAATAAAAGTATTTTTTTTTATTGCTAAAGGCTAAAGAACCTCACATGTTTGAGAAAACACATGAGTAGTCTTGCATTTAAAATATTTTCAATGGGGGCAATTTGTAATAGATTCTAAAATTTCAAACATTTCACCGCACTCCCCAAATATTTTTAAAATTTCAGTGGGGGCAGCTGTAAATGCGACTCTGCTTGTGCGTGTAGAGCAAACAATAATACTGTTATGGGATTTCTAAAAGGAAAACCTTCCCCTAGAAAGCCAAAACTTAAATGGTCCATAAGCCTCTCCGACTCTATACTCAACTCAACAAAGCTTCTACCACTCTATATTTAACCATAAAATATGCTATATTTATTTCACCAAAAAATACTATAGTTACACCCACAACCCACCAATCTACTTGATCGCCAAAGTCCCAATTACAATAATCAAATCCTGGAAGTTTTATGCATGTTTCAATACAATCTCTATGCCTATAGCTAAATTATGTGACGGAATGACTTCACATGATTCACAAGTGACTAGGTCATGCTGATAAATTTGCCAACAAAAATTTTTTCCCAATTTCTGCTTTATGCTCTGCAAACAAGCGCCATTGTCATCAAAATCTTGGAACCGTCCACCACTACCCTCATCCGTCCCCAAGCTGCCACCACCCAAAACTTACGGCACCACTGCATCCTACCTACCTGAAACCCTTCCTCCCATTGGCCCCGTTTACTTAACTGAAACCTTTGTGTACCCCACAATACCCACTTCCCTCACGCAGAACTCCCCTCCCCTTGCTACCACTCCTCTAATTCAGTTCTAATACTTCTTAGAATCTAGTTGCCCCCCAGTCTATGTCACCTGTCCTTTGTTGGTTTTTTTAGCATTCAAATGAATATTATGCTCATCTTGAATCTGAGGATTCCGTCCCCGATTCAAAAGCCCAAGCGAAATAAGGACTTGATCTCAAGGAATTTTTGCAACCATATGCACTTTTTTCTAAACAACTATTTTCTTTCAAACAGTGATTCTCTGCCCTATTGTGTGTTCTAAAATAACAATCATCACAGGATGTCTAAGAAACACCATCTAATTAAAAGCTTAATTCCTCAGAAATACCACCTCCTAGAAATCATAGATGATCAAGAAAGGCTTGAGTGAAAATGTGAATTGATTCTACTGGAACAGATCTTATCAATCAAACTCAAAAACAGTTGACGATTAAACAGAGATTGAATATGTACCGTCATCAAAATATAAACGAAAAAAAATAATGCTACATTCATTCCAAATAGGCAAAAAATACAAATGAAATCTAAATTTTAAACCACAAATATGTTTATCACGAGAATGGGCAAAATTGAACTTAAAAGTACAAGATGAGGGAGTATTGAAGTAATTCGAAATAAACTACCAAAAGTAGAATATCACTGTTCTAACAAAAAAAGACAAATTGATTATAGTTTTTTGAAGAGAATAGTTGTTGACAATTTTATCAAGAAAGGATAGAATCAGGGAGCCATGTGAAATTACCTTCAAACCAGCAGCTTCTCCTCCATAAGATTCATACCAGACCGCTTGCATAAGCTCACCAGCCATACTTGTTCACAACAACTGTTGACAGCATTCCCGTGAGCTTTTGGACTTCTCGGACAGTTCGGGGGCTCCGGATGTCTAGGATTGCTTGAATCTAATCCGGGTTAGCTTCGATTCCTCGTTGACTCATCAGATATCCGAGAAATTTACCCGACTCTACTCCGAAAATGCACTTTACAGCGTTCAGCTTCAGCCCGTACTCCCTGAGGGTGGAGAAGGTATCTGTCAAATCTACCAGGTGGTCACAGTTTTATTTGCTCTTCACCAGCATATCGTCAATGTAGACCTCCATGGTGTTGCCGATCTGCTTTTTGAACATCCGATTCATCAGTCTTTGGTATGTTGTCTCGGCGTTCTTTAGCCTAAACGACATCACTTTGTAACAGTAAACTCCCTTTGGAGTAATAAACGCCGTCTTTTCCTGATCCGGGGGACAGAGAGGGATCTGGTGATATCTTGTTCGGGCAACCAAGAAGTCCATGTGCTCAAATCCAGCAGTGACATCCACTAGTTGGTCCACCTTTGGTAGGGGGTAGTCATCCTTGGGACATGTCTTGTTTAGATCAATGAAGTCTAAGAAGACACGCCATTTTTTCCCCCTTTTTTTTTCGCGCAGACCATGTTAGCAACCATTCTGAGAACTGTACTTCCCGAATGGCGTTGGCCTCCAGGAGTTTATCGATCTCTTCGTTGACCGCGCAGACGTGGTGCGGGGCCATGCGTCGTGGCCTGTGTTTTACTGGCTTGTGCGCCGGGTCAACATGCAGCTTGTGGGTGATAATTTCGGGGTCCACTCCCTTCATTTTATTGCGTTTCAAGCGAACACGTCTGCGTTTTCCCTCAAGAAATCAATCATCTCTTCCCAGTTCTGAGTATTTTCACACACAAAGATATTCATAGAAGAAACTGAGAAAGTGAAGGTGGAAAGGCAACGGCAACGAAAAATGAGGCCCAAATTACCGCATGTGTAAGGTTGTCTTACGATGATTTTGCATCGTAACCGTGAAATGCGAAGGTCGTCACCGTCACCATCATTCGTCGTTTTCGTCGGAATGGACATAAAAGTCCTAAAGATAATGAAGGAGTCGGGATATCGGGATCAACTATAACTCCAGACATTTTAAATTTAAAATTTTTAAATCTATATTATTAGATTCATAAATTAAATTAAAATTTTAATTTAATTTAATTAAATCCATGTAAAATTGCTTTTACATGTTCATATAGATACCTAAACCGGAACGTGAAAATTGGGTCCTGAAGTTTTAGTCCGGGCTAGCATCATCTGCTATTATTTGGTCCATGTAAAAATGTGTTTGGTGCTCTAAAAGATCTGGATAACACCAAAAACAAAAAAGTGTGTTAGGCTCCAATCAGATCTACAGTAATATGTTTACATTGTTTCCTAAACCTAATTAAAATTCAATGCATATTCTTTCGATTCATAAGAGAAATCCAAACCCATTGAAAGTCGAAACACCCTCAAAAATAAATAAATAAATAAAAATGGAAACACAGCACACCCAAAGGTCCAACTTTTTGAGGATTGTAGATGTGTCCATGAGCCAGATTGTCAACGGGGCTCATTCCCCAACTCAAAAATAAATAAGTCTGAAACTCGATAAGTCTGATAGTTAGCTTACTTGAACCTGCCACACCCCCACCCCGAATCACGTAGGGTGAGTGGCAGATCGGCCACCAAGGTCTTAACCAACCAACCATGTGCATAATAAATGCAAAATACAAAGGAAGACAAATAATGAAGTGATTCATTCCACCGACCTATTGAATACCAGAGGAATAAGTTAAATATCACCAACATCATTATTAAATCTATGTAAAACAATAATTAATCCATAAGGTTCACTACTCTAAACATCAGCAATATTATTTCGAAAATAATTAAACATTCGTCTCAAAACTATCTGTAGACTTACTTATTATCCTGATCCTCACCTGAAAAATGTTAAATGTTTGGAGGAGCACAAGGGCCCGTGAATAGCAATCACCTCTAATGAGGTGTGAAAATAAATCTCACATTTTATATACAAAAATAAACTTTGTTACATAAATAAGTACAACAAATTGTACTTCAATCCTTCCCACATAATCATGTAAATAAAATGATCTCATGACCACAAATAATTTTATAAATGAAAAGACAATCATAAATCAAACACTCACTCATTTTCACAATAAATTTATAAATGAAAAGACATTTATAACTCAAAATACTCACACACACATTCAGTCTCAAATGCATTTGTCAAATCATGTTTATTACCACTAGCCTGATAACTGGCTTCATCTTTTGTCATCACTAACCTGATGATTGGCCCCGTCTCTTGTTACCACTAGCTTGGTAACTGGCCCCGTCTCTTGTCATCACTAGCCTAATAATTGGCCCCTATGTACACATTCCTATACCGACTATGTCGGTATACAATCTCGTTATCATTTAGACCTGGTAATCCAATCTCTGTCTTATAAACATGATTTTCATACATACAAAAACTATAGTTTTAGTTCTAACGCACACAAAATTTCTTTTCATCACTAAAACACATTTAAGCAATGATATAAAATCATCCTACAAGTTTTTCAAAATTCACAAGTATAACAGTTCACAATTGCAAAATATTTAATTGCAACCCCAAACATCAACACATATATCATATATATGAAAAATTCACACGCACGTACCCACATATTTAATATAAAAAATCATCCTAAAAGAAGTAGTAAACTACTCACCTTTATTCTCATTATTCAATTCAAAGCCCTTTTTCTTAACCTCAATACAATTACTAGTTAATCCAAAATAATATATAGCAATCAATCCATATTCTTAACTTCATCATTTCGAGATTCTATATTTATTTTTTATATTTCCTACCCCATTGATATATAATTAATATATCTTTTACATACAAATATCCTTTCTAAATTTTTTTGGGCTGTTTAGAAAAATTATTTCCTAACTTCATCTTTTACATACAAATATCCTTTCTAAAAATATGGTATGGAAGTATTTTGGGCTATTTATAAAAAGTTTCTAAAGTTTTGGGGTCAAATTATAATTTTTGAAATTTTTGGGCCCAAAGTGTAATTTTTTAAAAAAACAAATTTTCTGTTTTAGGGACTGTCATAAATTTTCCAAAATTGTACTCTTCCAAATTACCAAGTAAAACAGTGGTTAAAATTAAGTTTGGCAGAATATAAAGGGTCAAAGTAAAACTCTTTGAAATTAAAGGGGATGTTTCTATAATTTTTGGATTGGGTCTTCTTTTACTCACGGATATCCCAGGTTGTTTGTTCTGCCACAACAATTCCAATCCTTTTTTTTTTTTTTTCAACTTATTGATTAACCAACTACAAATCTAATTTCAATCTAATAATTTTAATAATAATAAACAAATTCATTATGTATATGTGTATATATACATATTACGTATTATTATTATCATCAGCTTAATATCATGTGATTGAATAAACTATAAAACCCATAAAATAAATAATAAACTCACATTTAAGGGACTGAATCCACTTGTCTTGTTCCTCCTTTTTTTCTTTTCTCTTTCTTTGACGTTATTTTTTTCTTCTTTGTTCACAGGACAGGCTCCTCCACAAGCCTTCTCACCAATAAAAACCCTACAAAACTAAATATATTTATATATATACTAAGGATTTGACCTATCCAACAATACTACCATATTTAAACCACATGTATAATAATCTTAATAGGTCTCTATAATTATACTAAATTATCTCCATTAATTTTCAAAGCATATCCATAAGCTCATAAGGATAGACCCCAAGCAAAACAAAAGTCTAAAATTTCTCAAATCCAATTTATTCACTTTTATTTTTATTATTATTATTGTTATTTCATTTTTTTTTCTTATTTTTACCCTGGGTATTACAGAACCCGAATCCAATATCTTTTAAGAAATGACTTAGGTCTACCCTCAAAACTATTACCAAGCCCAAAACTCAACCCAATAGCCCACCCATAAAATACTAGTTAAAAATCCAACCCAATAACCCACCAGCCAAGCCCGGCCCAACCCAGCCTGAATAGCACACCACCTTCCTATGAAAACAAGTTAAACACATTAAATTTGAAAAAGATGGATAGGTGGATAGGTGTCAACCTAGTTGAGATGTGCTCATTCTATTGTAATGCAATTTCTCCCTTATTTATAAATAAAATTATTCATTAATTACTTTTGTCCATTTTGACTGTATTTTAATTTAAAAATGTAATTTACAAAAATATTAAATTTCAAAAATATTTTATTATTTCCAAAGGAAGTTGTATACAAAAAGTCCGTCTAATATGCCCGCCTGCAAGCCCACCCAATAGGCCCATAGGCCCGGCTAGTGAGTGTCGGGTTACGGGTAGTTTTCCCCTACCCGAAGTCTAGCCTAACTTGCCCGATACCTCACCCGAGTAAGGGCTCGAGTCTCCCCTACCCAAGCCCAGCTTAAAAAAAAGTTCACGTGCTGAACTCGACCTAGCCCATGGACACCCCTAGAGGATTGTCATACACTTCAATTCAACCATACGGTAAATCTAAATAAGCTGGGAAATTTATATTTTTCAATCGAAAAGTAATTTGGGCACTTATATCACCCGGTCTACTTCAAAAGATAATATTAGGCATAACAGTTACACCACATCAGTTAAGTGACCAAGTTTGCAAAATAGAGAAAATATTGGATGTAATAGTTTAATCGCACCAATAATGAAATGAAATGAAATGAAAAAATAAGCAAGTGAGTCCTACAAAAATAAGTAATCACCCATCCATTTAATATGTAACCATCTCCGTGTAAGACAATGAAGTTCATTTTATCTATTTATTAGTTTTTCTATTAGACGGTTATACCACTTGACAGTATTGACATGGTGTAACTGTTGCATCCAATTTTTACTCCAGCCTCATAAAAATTCATACATTAATGGTATTGAGACGTAATTTGAGGACATAGACTTAATG